ATCCTCTCACATACTTAACACTCTCTAATTTTAAAGAGTGTTTCATTAGTTATCTAAAGTTTTGAATCATATAACATAAAGTTGTGAATACTTCACATTAATTAATTATGCCTCATAACAATGTTAAATTAAGTTTCTAAAGTAGTTTGTTGGAAAGGGAAGGGGTTTGCCATACATGATAGAACTAAGAAGGTTAACAAAAACTACTACACATATAAAATACCAATTCACCATGATTTACTGCTTGTCCTATTGAATTTTTTTGGGTCAATTTTGTCCCCTATTTAAATGGTGGAAGAACCATCATGGTCACTTTGTTGTTGCAGTATTTAAATATTCAATGCTTTCCGTTTTCACATGTCCATAACATAATATGCATAGTGCAATCATCTTGAAAAGGAAAAGATTGGAAGCATAAAATAGACAAAAGCATATCCAACAGATTGCTCAAAATCTCAAGGGTAATATCACAAAGCATTAAAAAGACCCAATTGCTTCAAAAATCATGAGCTTGTATAAAAGAAACGATACAAAGTATAACTTATAAAGTTTATGCCAATCTTTACCTTTTGGGTTTAAGCAAGATTGTTCCTTGTATCAACCAGACCTTCGGTGTAACACCCGAATTTAGTAACAATATTTTGATTGTAATGTGAGTATGTGTATTGTTAATTGGAAGTGTGTATTTATTTGTGTGACGATGTGGATGCATGTATATATAGGTGAGTGTTAGCTTGGACTGGCTAGAGTTGATTGGAAAATATAGGATAAGAGTGAACTGCAAGGGCATTCTCGCTGCAGCAAAAAGGTCCTGGGCCAGATCTAGCGAGAGGGCAACAAAGAAATGGTATTTTCTGGGTGCAATCTCACTGTAGTGAGAATATGTAGATTGGTTGATATTGTCATGATATATGTGTTGTAATACATCGACGAGTGCAATTAGGACACATGTATTGTGACATATTAATTGATGTGGTATAATACATGTATTATGACGTGCATATTAGTAAAAAGACACATGTTATGAAAGTGGTAAATATGATTGATTGTTTATCTTGTGTGTACTCCTTTGTGATGGTGAATTAGATGATTTGAGTGTCATTATTAATTCAATCCATGTTAGGTAATATTTTATATATATATATATATATATATGTGTGTGTGTGTGTGTGTGTGTGATTATCTTGCTTATGTCAAACAAGAAATTTAGTGGGGCGGGAGATACTCACCCTTACTAATATTTTTAGGTAATGAAAATGAAGAGATAAAAATGTTTAACCCATCTTAGAATCATAATCCAAGGCTATTGGGAAGAAAGACTGCTCTGTAGAGATTAGGATCATTTGAAAAGTTGTATTATTTTATCCTAATTGTATCTTATGATGACTAAATTTTGTAAATGATTTTCAATGTCAAATTTTATAATTTATAATACTTGAGCAAATTTCGTTGTAATGAATATTTTGGAAACGTTCTTAGTGGAAATTCTAAATTTATATGTATTCAAAGTGAACCAAATAATCTACTAGAGGTAAAGTTAAGTTTTATTTATTACCTCAAAGTTTCAAAATCATCCCCTTGGAAGTTTTGACTCCTTTTAGAATTTTATGAAACTTTCATAAGAAGAAAATGTAAATTTTTGCCATTATTCTATTATTAAATCCATGAATAGAAACAAATTCATTTTTCATTTACTACAAAAATTTATTTATTTGAATGAAGAAAACGAGGATGTTACATTCGAAGTTGGAGTGTTTGTGAGCACATGCAAATTACATCTTCAAGGAGTGTTTGTGAGCACATACATATTAGTCTTCAAGCTACGGGAGGTAGGGTATTTGTGGTTGAGAATATTAAAAAAATTGGATTAGGGTTTTGGAACAAAGTTTAGGAATATTTCATGGGTTAGGGCTAACCTATGGATATCCCTACCCTAACCCATTTATTATGGGCTAAATAACTTAAGGCTAAATTAAAAGTTTTTAATTAATATTAAAACAAGGCTTACTAAATTATTTTAGGGTTAGAATGAGCTGGCTCCAGGGCTTTGGCCCTTTTTGACAGCACTATTCAAATATATGATATTCTTCGATTATACATTTAGGCCTATAAATAAGTGTTTCATTTGTATTGAAGGGATATGAAATGAAATTGCTCTATATATTGTTTTCTCTATTTTCTTACTTGCTATTTATAATTTTACGTTTATTTTATAACAATATGCTATTTTTATAATTTTGTTATTCTTTACTTTTTAGCCAATATTTTTTATATGTTGATTTACAATTTTGTTAAAACAATTATTCCTTCATTTCATGATGTAGGGAAACAAATTCAAAATTGGAAACCTAATTATTCTTTCCTTTGTTTAATGGAAGGAGAGTCTTTCTTTAACTTCTACTAATTTTGTCTTTTGCACTAATTTTCTGTTCAATTCTAAAAATCTGAAAATATATGTCTTCACAAAAGTTTAAAAAATATTTGGTAAAACAAAACATGTCACAAAATTTCAATTCAAAATGTTTGTCGGCGACAATCATAGTGACTAAAATACTTATCAGTGACAATCTCAGGGATTAAAATGTCCGACAAGTTAAAATTTTAATAACTAAAATGAAACAAAAACATATTATAACACATACAACGTTGTTTTTGCCACGTAATCAATCACACATATCACTTAACGTAACACGTCAGCGTCATTTTGTCACGTGTCACTTAATGTGACATGTTAACATTTAGTTACTGTCCATTAACGACGTCTGAGTCTAGGAACTTAAATATTCGACAAAAATAAAAGTTAAGGACTAACTTGATATTTTTTATTTTTCAGAGACTATAATACCGGATACAAACTCTCTCGAGCACTAAAATGAGAGTTTAGCCTAATTTTTAACATAGTTCTTAAGAAAGATCCAAGTTGCCAAAATATTTTTCCCACACTCTAACCAACACCAATAAACTTTGTACTTTGTCTTTCTTCACCATTCTTTCTTTCTAACTCAGATCAAGATTTCCTACGGAACAATCTTTTTTCCCACACTCTAACCAACACCAACCTACTATTAGAAAACAAGGGTGAATCCTAGGAGCGCAATCCAAGATGGGCATTCTAACCAGATAACTATTTCAAAAGCCTAACACTACCTAAAGTTATAAGAATGAGAGAAAGAACTTGATGATTGAAAACTTCGAACCAATAAATAAGTTGATATGAAATATAACTATCTATTTGAACATTGTTAAGAGTTTGTTTAAGATGAATTATTATTATTTTTAATTATTAAAATACTATTAAAAATATTATTTAATTTATTTCATATTTTTTAAAAATTAACTTATAATATTTTATTAAACTTTTTTTTCTCAAAATATCTTATTTAAGATAAATAAATTTTTAAATTTTATGGTTAAAAACTATAAACTAATTTTGTAGTTTATTTATTTATATTTTTTAACAATTAATTTTTAAATATAAAATTAACTATTGCACATAATTTTTTTATATATTTTTAATAATTTCATCATAAAAAGTATTTTTTTATACAATCCTAATAAAATCAGACTTATTTTAAAATTACTTTTCGCCTAACATACGGAAAATAAGACTTATTTTATATATTTTACTCTACTTTTTTTACATGGTCTAGAATTTAAATTTTTGTAATTATATGTTTTTAATAATTACAAATTCAATTTTATCCTCATTTCAAAATATATTTATTAAATAAACTGAATTAATACAAAATAATTTATATTACTCTATATGATCCTTTTATAAAGTATCTTTAACTAAATTACATGAACTAACAAAATCGAAATAAATTTAGTTGAATTTCTTGATTTTTAAAAGTATATTATAAATGACAATTTATCTTCATTTAATACTATTGTACCTAACCCTACTACCCTTCTTATTTTTAATTTAAGTTTCCACCAATTCTATTTATTGACAAATGGAAAACAAATAATAAATGCTTCATACAAATTATAAAGTGCCTTGTAAAAAGTATAATTTTTATAAACTAATGAAAAGACTATATTTACTTGTTTGACATATAACAAATAATAAAATATAATTCAAATTTTATAGATTACATTACATTTACTTCTTTGACAAAGAACAAATATAATTTTCTTTATAGAAAACTAAAAATTAGTAACAGTATCCAAAAGTGAAACTTTAAAATGGTACACAAGACTTTTCATATGTTTAAAATAACTCACGTATATGCATTTTAGTGTATAAATTTTGCAATTATTTAGTCTTTAAATTTTTATATTTTTTACATAATTTAAGAATTAAATTACAATTAGTTTAAAATTTAAGAATCAAATCACACGTAATTTGTACAAATAAGTTATTTTACTTATATTAAAAATATTGAAAATTAAAATATACTTTTTTAGGAATTAAATTCACATAATTTAAACCTTTTGGTGTTAATTTATAATTTTCTTTTTATGTGGTATTACATAATAATAACTATCAAATATAAAACTATATATAATTATAATGTATTAATTTAATTGATCATGAAAATTTTGAAATATTCAAATAAAATGATTAATATATGATCAATTAGTATATAAATAATTTTAAAATAAATTTATTTAAAAATTAAAAATTATTTATATTAAAAAATACAATATATTTTCAATAATTATATAATATCTTTAACATAAAAAACTATATTACTAGGATAAAATAAATTTAAATGAAAATGACTTCTTTCATTTAAATTTTTTACAAGATTATGTAATATATATAAAAAATTACATCTAAATAGTATACTAAAAAAATGAAAAAATTATATATTTAATTTTTATTTACATTTTTTTCCTACTAAATAACATTGTTTATTATAATATTTTTTAAACATAATTTTGTTTTGATAATTTTTCACATTGTATAGGTTGGGCCGGTGCGGGTCAACATTGACCCGACATCAGGGAACACGAACATACCTAAGACGCCGACCTCGACGGCTACGTCTTATGTTTAGAACTCTTTTTCTCTTTACCTTTCCAGTTTCGCTTTCAGTTTCAGGTCAGATTCTAAATCCTATTACTATTTCTGTCGTTGTTCTCCCACTCTCAACAGTTTAGGTATAATACTCTTTGGTTTACTATGCAATATTGATATTAATTGGGTTTGCTACTTTTTTTTTTTTTTTTTTTTTACTTTGCATTGGCTTAAATGGGGTTTTTCTTTCACTCAAAATTTTCGATAAAAAAGATAAAAGTGACAACTTTGTAACCCATTTTTGTTCCTTTACTCTTCCTCATAATTAATATTACTAAGCAGGAAAATTATTGATATGTATTTATTCTCCTTTAGGAGTAAGAGGAATCAATTAATCGAATGTTTCGATATCTGCTGCACCTGTTATTGTGATGCCTTGGACTCTTTGGAAGAATCAAAACCTGAACTTGTGAGGTTTGGTTTTGTAGGAGTTTAGAGATGGCAGAATCAAAACCTGGATTGAGAAAGCCAGTGTTCACTAAGATTGATCAGCTTCGCCCTGGGACTAGTGGGCACACTCTAACTGTGAAGGTGGTTAGTACTAAGATGGTGATGCAGAAGGGTCGTCCTGATGGTCCCCAACCTCGCCAAATGCGGATTGCTGAATGTTTGGTGGGTGATGAAACAGGAATGATCATATTCACTGCCAGAAATGATCAAGGTGTGGATGCTGTTGACTTTGTCATCATATATTTAAATTCTTTTTTATGTACACAGTTAAGGGATTCTCATGTTCTTTTGGTAGAGTATGCTTTTGAAATTTTATTATTTTATTGCTTTTCTTTATTTTTGCTGATTGGTGCTGCTGATAAGGTGGTAATCTCATCACAACCAGTCAGGTGATTTCTGTTTTTGATTCTTGTCATTGTTTTTCCCCATGCACAAAAGCCATTCAATCATTTTACTTTTCCCACTGACTCCCATTGCCCAGTATCACTTTTTAGTTCTTATTAGATAATAGGGACGTTTGCTGTTTATTTTGATGGTTTTCTGTCCTGTTCTCATGCAAAATAACAGGAACTAATTATCTGATAAACCATGCTATAGAAGCCTTATTTCTGGCCTTGCATTGTCCATAAGACGGTTACACATATCTGCAGTAATAGCTTAAACCAAAATTTCATCGTGTTATCTTCACATATGTCATGTAACTCTATAAATGATTTCAAAACTAAAGTAGCTAACTAATCATAATTGTTGAATTAATCTAGATTCACAAGTAATCAAGTCGTAAAGTGATGAAAATTAAAATTTATGCTAAATACTCTAATTGATGATTCAGCTGGGCAGCTAGTGTTTAGCTGTTTTTCTTGTTTTGATCCAAAAGATGTTGTATTTTCATGTTCAGTTCAGTATCATTTTCCAGTACCGATATCATTGATATAACCTTTTTAAATCAGGCTTCTACAGGGAAACAATTTTTAAAGAAATATCTTTTCCTATTCTTGTTATGCAGATTGAAACTGATCTGAATGTGACTTGACAAAATATTCATAAATCTCCTGTCTAACAGCATTTTGCAATAATAAAATCTCTAATATAATGTCTGCTTCCAGTTATTGAAGAAAAAGGTGTACAAGTTGAAAAGCAGTACAGTAACCTGTTTGGTTCACTCAGTTCCAAATTCTGAGTTTCTGACTGTCCCTCCATGACAGTGAAGTAACAATTGCAGACATGGAATTAATTGTGTGATTTGCTTAATCTGTGATTCTTGTTGTAACTCAGTGCCTTTTCTGTATAACTGTAATTTGTGTTGCCAAGCAAGCAATGCACACATCAAACAATATATGTCGCACACTGTACTGTTTTACGTTTTTAACAAATATGGCTAAGAGGTTGATTTGAATATATCTTCTACTGTGATGTTAATAGACTGCTTTTTCATCCATTTCTAGTTTTATGAAATATTAACCTTTCCTATTTCAATTTTTTCCAACTCAATGCAATTTCATTGAATTTATGCCAAATGCTGTATGTCAGTTGTCCGTACAGCAATCCATGTATTGCGAGTTTTCAATAAATTAGTATGCTAACTTAGTGATCTTTGGAGCTAATCTGTATGATAGGAAAATAATGCTTTTGTTGCATTTGTTCCCATGTTTTGCTTACACCTTTGTTGTTTCTATGTACTTATGCTGAATTAGTGCTCAGTCATTGATATGTGAGCAAGTTTAAGCCTGGATTGCCATGTGGTGCTAATGTCATATTTACCGTGTACTTCCACTAGTGCTATAGAAGAAACGATGTTGGCTAATCACAATTGCAAAAAATATAGTTTCTTATTGTTCCAGTGGAAATGTTGGACTTAAGATATAAACACAATTCTATATATATTACTGATATCTGGCTTATAGGCCTGATTTGAGTACAAGCATTAACAATCATAGGGTTTCTCCCTAACAAGAAGTTTCCTCCTTCAATCACTAGAATAGCAATGACAGTATGACACTGTTATTTCCCAATCACTAGAACCCATGGCTAACCTATTGTTCAAGATTCCACTTTCACATTGAATTTCTGATACCAACCAGAATCAACACTGCAAAGAATCTGAAGATATTAGGATTCCAATTGCAAGGTATGGGACTTGATTTCCACGTTGGAAGTATGGGATTCTAATGTGGGATTTATAAGGCTTTGATCTCTCCAACTACAATGGCTAGCTTTTCTGGTATGGCTATTCCTAGGTTCTTATTAATTGGTATTAGAGCCTTTTACCATGTTTTTCTGCTGCAATCAACTAGCAGAAGTGGTGACTCCGGCATTGCAGTATTTGCTTAGGACTAGTGTAAAGCCAGCTTGCATGGTGCTGGGGCTACAGTGTGTGATGGGATGTTAGGATTCCAGTTGTTATGTGTCAAACTTAGTCCCACATTGGAGTATTTGATTCTAATGTAGGGTTTGCAAGGCTTTGGACTCCCAACTACAAAGGCTATCGTTTGTGTTGTGACTTTCCCAGGATTCTGATAGAAAAGAATCAAGAAAAGAAGAATAGAAAATAGAATCAAGAAAAGAATCATGTATTATTGCTATTGAACCTTTGACTTAGGGATTTGGTACCCCACACAAAGAAAAAGAATGATTACAACAATATTACCCTTCGGGAATTCAAGAGCCTGATCTCTCCTAGCCCAATACTAAATGTCTATTTGAATGCCCCCTCCCACTTTCCTCCCTAGTCCTATTTATTCTCAATTAAAAAAAAAAATTGTAACTGTTAAATCAGAGTCAGTTACTATTTTTTTTTTACTGACTTGGGCCCCAACTTTATTTTTCCTAACATATACTTTTCTGATCAAAGGTCGAACATATTCTTATAAGTATAGGAAATGACTCAATAGAGGAAAGAAAAGTTTGTGTTGTTTCTGAGATAAGATAAATACAGTGGGTCTGCTATAGAGCTAGACTCCTACTCCATTTGGAACAAACAAAATGATTCCGAAAGTATGCCACTGCTACACACAGCCTATCTGATAACAGCAACCTGCAAATCAGTAACCATCCTCCCTTTTGTTCTCCTCTTACTGCATGCACATCATGCTTCCTGGCTGTCCCTCTTTTTTTTCTAGTCTAGACTTCCCAGACTTTCGGCCCATGTGACAAATGGTGTATCGGCACCCTTTTGGACCCAATTGGGCCTAACAGTTTGGGTATTGTTTAAAACTTGGAATATCTACAAATATTTGATAATATCTTATTATATTGATGATTATTTTAGAATGTCTTGCATGATCTGTGTTCTTTTTCTTTTTTTTGGATTATTTCCTTATTTGACTTGGGCTAGTAGTCTGTGTTATTGGGTTTGGGCTTGTATTTGTAATACTGTACTAATACTAGGCCTAGTTATTAGGATAAATAAGCCCATTATGTGTCTTGCAAGATGAAAAAATTAATAGGAGTTGAATTTATAAATAAATATAAATTATTTTAATAATATTATTAAAAATAGATAAATATAATTTTGAATGCTATATTTTAATGAATTTGCACAATAAACTCCCCTCCAACAGGCAATGCTGACATTGTGGCTAATGAGTTCGCTCATGTCTCCAAGTAAAGACTCAAGTTCCAAGCAGCAAGGTGGAACTTTCATAATTTTTAGTCTAACAACTTGAACTGGTCATGATTAAGCCAATCAATTCAGGCTGGTTCCAGCAATTCATGCTTGGTTTGGCGATTCAGAGACTGGTTATTGAATTATCGGTTAAGAGGTTAGACTGAATCAGTCAATGGCCTAATTCCTAGTTGAACCAGTCTCACTGGTCGGTCTGATCCTCTCAGTCCATTCTCTCAAAAGGTTTGATATAGAGTTAGTGTCAATTTACATCCATGAGGCATGGATTGTGACTTCCAACTTCCTTGAAAAGCGGTGAACAATTATGAACAAATGTTCAGAATTCTCATAGGTCTAGATAATATTAGATAATAATAATTGTGATGTATGCAGAATAGAGTTTTAATGAAGTTCAATGTCTGTAAACTCTGTAGTAGAAAGTTTTCATGATAAAATTTTTAACTATAATTTTCAAACCAAAGATGTCTATAAATGTTTCTCAACAAGTGAGAGAAAAATAATTGTTTCAATTATTTTCTTGCTACATTTTGTCTAATGTCGTCTATGGATGAGTTGAAAGTTTTTGCCTGGCTCAACATCCCATTTCCAGTAATATTGCTGCAATCTTGTCTAAATTTTAATCGTTTTCTTCTGGTTTGAATTTTCACTTGTACAGTGGATCTGATGAAAGAGGGCTCTACTGTCACCTTGCGAAATGCAAAAATTGACATGTTCAAAGGATCAATGAGGCTTGCTGTGGACAAGTGGGGTCGAGTTGAAGTCACAGAACCCGCAAGTTTCACTGTCAAGGAAGATAACAACCTGTCCCTTATTGAATATGAACTGGTGAATGTTGTGGAGTGATTTCTTGGGACATTTTGCAACTTCTGCTGTGTTATAATGAGAATAAACAAATCCAGCAAAGCAGTCTTAATAGAAATAGATATTTGGAAGCTAGTGGTACTCAGTTGCTTCTTACAGCTGACTCGGTTGTTCTTGCTCGTTGAAACACTGAACCTATGAAGGCATTAAATGGACCATAAGGGATTTGGCTTCCAGATTTTGCTCTTTGTTTTGCTATCTATTTACTTCTTTATTATGTGTATCTTTATTTACCTTAGATTCTATGTATCAGAGTATTATTATATGTGGAAGACGAACCTTTATACTTGATGTAATCCTTTCTTTGGCTTCATACTAGTATTATCACTCACTGGTGCATAATTTCTTGTCTGCTTTCTCAGTAAAGTGGTGTGTTTAAATGACTAAATGTAAGACCAAACTTAACACAATTGTTAGATAAATGCTATACCTACCAAGAAATACATTATGTAAAAACGTTCCTAGATTCAATAATCGATTCTTATAAGATTTAGTACCAGAATTTATGGTCATTGTAGTCAAAATCGCGATCTAACCTGTAAGATTGGATGATTCTATGGTCTTTTCCAGCTCCTCTGATCACGTTCGTGCGCTGCGATGTGATTTTTCGTGGAAGCATGTGATCCTGGACAAGTTTGATGGAGCTCTATTTAAAAAAAATAAAATACTCGATTACTCGGTTTGACCAGACTTTTTTTTTTACTTGACTTATGTAATTTTAGATGTTAGATTTTATTTTATTTTTTCATTCTCCCCTTCTTGCTTGCCCTTTTCTCCACGTACAAAGTTTTCTTCTTCAGCATTGCCAACTGTGACATAGGGTTCTCTTCCTCAACACTATCAACACAGAGTTTTCTTCTTCCTCAACACTGTCAACGCATAGTTCTCTTCTTCTTCAGCACCACCGACGCATAATTCTCTTCTTTCTCAGCACTCGACCCACACTTTCTTCTTCCTCAGCACTGCAATCCACACTTTCCTTCTTCTTCAGACTTGCGATGCACATTTCTCTTCTTTTCCAGTACTGTGAATTTGTTTTTCTCATTCTTTGTCCTGTTTGAAGATGTTTGCACATGGAAAAAGTACACCTGCAATCCAAAGAGAGCAACTAGAAAGTAAGAGACTGTTTGCAAGTCCTACCATTGGTTACACTTCTACTGGCTCAGTGAACTACTTCGTTGGTGTAGTTGTGACTGGTTCTTTGCAAAAAAATGCTCCTAGAAACAGAAGTGATGTGGTATGGCAGCATGGATTACCTGTGGATGTAGATGCATGAAAAATACAATGCAACTATTGTTGAAAAATAATAACTGGTGGAGTTTACCATTTAAAACATCACCTGACTGGAACACAGAAAGATGTGAGTGCTTGCTCTTCAGTTAGTGATGAAGTAAGGAAAGATATGTGGCAAGTTGTGTCCTCCTTATAAGAGAAATTAATGAAGAAATCAAATAGCAAACTCAATAAACTTCTTGTAGAAGGTGATGGTGGTGGTGATTTTGGTGAAAAAAGAAAAGGAACTGAAGTTGAAGGTAGTGGGAATATTTTCCAGAAGAGAAGAGTAAATAATCAAGTCACTCTCAATAACATATTCAAAAATAATTTGAGAGAGGAAGTGTGTCAAGATATTGTTTCTTTTGTTTTTACAATAATGCCATACCATTAAATGTGGCAAGGAGTGAATAATTTCATAAGATGTTGGAATCAATTACAAAATATGGGCTTGGATTCAAGCCACATTCCTATCATGAAATCAGAGTTAAGTATTTGAAACATCATGTGAATTTTAAAAGTATGAGAAATTGCATTTTTTTTTCTTTACTTATTAAGCACTAGCAAATAATCAATTGCATTTATATATTTTTTAGGTCCACAAAGAGACAAAATAGTTTGAAACAACAAACTATGAATAATGTTGTTTATGTGATGGCTAACTCAAAATTGGCCAAGAAAAAGACATCCAGAAAAGCTATGGAGTTTAATCTTGATGATCTTTCATCTGATGATGAATGGATTATGGACAATGAAAGTTCATCCAATGGTGACGATTTAGAAGTTGATGACTTATTGGACTTGGATTTGAATTCAAATGAACACTTGGGTCAAGTTGAAAATGATTCCAATGATGCTGATGATGATCTTGTAAGTTTAGATGATTTAGAGATTCCTACTTTTGATGATGACCTTGATGGAGTTGGAGATGAAGAAAATGAAGACCAAATAGAAGATGATTATTATGATCAAAACTTGAATGATTTGTTAGAATAAGGAATATCAAGTTTGGACACTTTGACTAGTTTGTTTTTACTTTAGTACTATTTTAAGTTTTATGTGTAATTGACTTGAGAATATATTTATTGTCATTAATGTTTGAGTTGTGATTGTCTTTTATGAATTTAAGACTATTTGTTTCTTTTTTATCTTCTTTTTTGTATGCATTTATATGTTTAAATATAGTTTTATACATTAGGTAGGATCTTACGATTCATTCTATGATCTTATGAGTTACGTATTTTTCTTTCCCTTCCGATCCTAAGTAGGATCTCAATTTTGACTATCTTGTTCATGGCCCTTATGGTACATGTGAAAGTGTTACTATAATTGTTCCTAATGGGTAAATAATTTGAGTAATACTTTGGTAAACAGGAACATATGTAAAAATTTTATATGATTACTCCTTGTAAATTACCTTTGCTACAACTATTGTACTAATTATTACAAAAATTAATAGTTTTTAATTACATGGCAGTTTTATTAAATGACAGTGTAAAATTATGTTAAATAGTTAGTGTTTTGTAATTATTATTTGATATAAACTTAGTCATCAAATTGGGTGATTTTACCGTTAGGAACATACAAGTTAAATTTATGAAAATATAAAGTGATAATTTTATGTATATGATCGTATTGGTTATTCATCGTCGTCTTTTTTTTTTTTCTTTTTTTCCCCTCTTTTATTCTTATCTCATTTATACAATAAGAATTTACTCACCTTCTGCCATTCACCCACGATTTCGCAGTTGGGCACCATTAAAGATTCAAAAATGATAGACTTTTTTACATACAAACATTAGAAAACATTAGAATTTTAGAATTTAGTTTTTCCAAACCGCCTCCAAGTGTTTGGATTCAATAGATCTCAGAAAGTTGTATGAAATGGATATATAATTTGCATAAATATGAGTTATGTGCTAAAAATTATCCTCCTTTAAAGTTTACGACGTTAAAAATAACATTCAAAATTTTTTATTACTTTTATTTTTTTTAATTAAAAAAATTTTCTACATCAATTCTTTGAAATGACCGGTGTAAAAAGTAATATTTCTTTTGTCGCTACTTTATACTTATTTTCTATATCGGTTCTCTGAGATAACTGATGTAAAAAGTATATATATATATATATATATATATATATTTAAAAAAACATTACTTTCTACATCGATTATTTGAGAAAACTGATGTAGAAAGTAACGTTTTAAAAACAAAAATTTTCTACATCGATTTTCTAGAGAATCGATGTAAAAAGTTGTACTTTTTTAAAATATACTTTCTAAATCGATGTAAAATGCTACATTTTTTTAAATACTTTTTAAATCAGTTCTATGAGAGAATCGATGTAGGAAGTTTTTACTTTTTTTTATGTATTCTCCATTTTTCATCTTATCCCAATCACACTTCATCTTCTCTTCTATGATGGTTATGAGTGAAAATTGATGTTTAAAGAGCCATTCACAGTGATTCTATTGGTTGATAACTAGAGATGGAATAAAAATGGCGTAACGAGTTAGAGTATGATACGAAGTACTATTTCTTCTCCAATTGTCATCTTCTTTGAAAGATGTTTCATTTTCTATGCGGTGCAAAATGTAATGTCCAAAATTTTAAATGTCTGTTTTATGCTATTAATTAATTTTTTTGATTAATTTACATGAATAAGGTTAATAAGACATTAATTGAATATTTATTAGAATTCAAATCTATGTTAATTAGGTAGACTAGAATTAAAAATTTATAGTAGAATTTTCTCTTAGGAGAGAGATCGGTATAGTTTCAAAAATTTAAATTATCAGAATAAAATAATATTATTTGCCCTAGATCCAACGGTGGGGAAGTCATTCACCACACCTTGATCCAATGGTTCATAATCCACCTTATGGCTCATTTGAGACCACAAAATTTATGAATCAATCAAAATTTGTCAAGTAACTCCATTCATCATGACTATTTAGATATTTTGCTTTCCCTTATCTCTTTATAAAATTGATCACTTCTCTCCCTCATTCTCTTAGCCATCTTCTCCTTTTCTTACCTCCATAAGCTTTTCTATCAAGCTCACCTACACTTGCAACTTAGAAACATTTTTGGAATCAAATTGGTACTCAAAGGAGGTAGGGTTCTATCTATGTTGATATGCTTATATGAATATGTGTGCCTATCTATTTCATGTTTTAAATCTTTTAATACATGATATATATGGTGTTTTTATGATGTATAGTTGGATTAATGGTAGTTTGTGTTAGTTTGAAGGTAGATCAAGTAGAAAAACAAAGAAAAGAAAGAAAACAGTAAGTCTGAAAATAGAATTTTCTAGGGTTTTCGTACAAATACACTATGTTGACCAATTATTTATGGATTAAATATTATTAAAATATTTTTAAATTAAAATATACATCCAGATATTTCTATACATATAAATTATTAAGCAATTGGATTAGTATAGAATTAGTTATGAATTTTTGAAGTTTCGGTTAAGTTTCAGATTTTGATTTTGGGCAGGTAAGCTTGCATAAGACATAACTCGTTCCACATAACTTGGATTGAGGTGAAACAAAATTTGTTAAAAAGATAATATATAATAGTTTATACCATAAAAATTTCATAGTCCAGTTTGTTTTGAGGAGTTCCCAGAATTTTTCCAAAGTTACCCCTAGTGCTATTGAGTCAGAAATAGAGCAACCTATAATAACCAATTTTAGAATCTTATAGCTTGAATTCTATTTAACCAAATTAAATTAAACTTTTTGGGTATTAAATTTGATTTCTTAAATTTAAAATGACATGAATTTCGCAATCATACACTTAGAATTCGAATTTTGGTGGATTTTAACATTTTTGAGTGTTGTTCTGGCTAATTACAGGACAGGTCATAATAGAAAGCAAAAATCTTGAGCTGTATTTGTCAAAACTAAATGGGACCAATTAGGTTAAAAAATAGACAAATAGGGCTTCAACATATGAAAAATTCAGGTCTATTGAATTCATATAGCAATAAATGCAGTAAAAATAAAATAAGGTAAAATTTATCGCTTTACAGAAA